TCTGTGATGGATCCGTGGTTAAAGATGATTAAGTAGTTTAAATTTTATTTTTGCATATTCATAGTAGCTAATAAACATCATGTAATCACATTTCTTTACATGAGTAGTAGTCATTAGTATCAATTAGTATCACGGAATAGTGTTAGTTCGTTTTGATTAAATATAATTCTAATATTTGTTTTAAAGAATGTTTCAGTTTACTTAGACAGAGAACTATTAGTAGTATTTATTTAAGTTACACTGTCTTGTTTGATATTATTACGTAACTACGTTTATTATACCAAAGTTCATTATTTTACACAAATAATCACCAGTGAGTCTACATGATTCTTTTGTTGTTCTTCTTTTCTATTTTTATTTCCCAATAAACAATATTTTATTTACAGTTCTGCAAAAGAATGATAAGTGAGACGTAAAACAAATTCTTTTCCCTTTACGACCTTTCCTAATTGAAATCTTCAAAATCTTTGGCTAATTTCTCATGAAAATTATGAAACTACAGAATGAGTGTTTCAATCATCTCACTAATTCGATGCAAACTTTGTACACAAATGACACTCTTTGGCTAATTTCTCATGAAAATTATGAAACTACAGAATGAGTGTTTCAATCATCTCACTAATTCGATGCAAACTTTGTACACAAATGACACTAATTCTTATAGTACCTATTGTTATTGAATAATACATACGTACACAAAATATGATTGTGTTGTACTAGCTTTTATGTTGTACATGCTACCACTGTAAATTTTAGTATTCACATAATCAAATCATAGACTTAACTTTGTTTCTTTTCTTTTTCCCTGAAAATACTAATCTTTATTCATATATTTCTTTTGTATGTCAAACAATGGGAAGCAAATATGTATATCTCACAAAACAAACTTGGATCAAAGTTCAATTGTAAAAATATTTGTTTAGTTGATTCATGTACGACACATACAATATTCAAAGAGAAGAAATATTTCTCTCATTTAAGTATGTGTAAGGCAGATGTTACTACAATTTTTGGTAGTAGTAAATTAATCGAAGGCTCTGGAAGAGCTACTATAACTCTGCCTAAAGGAACAATACTTATCATAGAGAATGCAATGTTCTCCTCCAAGTCCAAGAGGAACTTGTTGAGTTTTAGAGATATCCGCCGAAATGGATATCATATTGAGACAATGGATGAGAATAATCTTGAATATCTCATCATTACCAAAAATATCTCTGGCCAAAAGAGGGTTATTGAGAAGTTCCCATCTTTATCTTGTGGCCTGTATTGGACAAGAATTAGTGCAATCGAGGCACATTCTATTGTAAACTGATTCCAATACTTTTGTACTTTGGCATGATCGATTGGGACACCGTGGATCAATTATGATGAGACGAATTATAGAAAACTCAAATGGGCATCCATTAAAGAATTTTAAGATTCTTTTAAATAATGAATTTTCTTGCACTTCTTGTTATCAAGCCAAGTTAATTATAAGACCATCACCAACAAAGGTTGGGATTGAGTCCCCTGCGTTTTTAGAACGTATACAAGGGGACATTTGTGGACCTATTCACCCACCTAGTGGGTCGTTTAGATATTTTATGGTCTTAGTAGACGCATCTTCTAGATGGTCTCATGTGTGTCTATTGTCATCTCGCAACCTCGCGTTTGCAAAATTAATGGCACAAATAATTTGATCACGGGCGCAATTTCCCGATAATCCAATTAAGTCTATTAGACTTGATAATGCTGTGAGTTTTCATCCCAAGCATTTAATGATTATTGCTTATCAATTGGGATAAAAGTGGAACATCTTGTAGCTCATGTTCACACTCAAAATGGCCTTGCAAAGTCTTTAATTAAACGTCTGCAATTGATAGCAAGACCGTTACTCATGAAAACGAGGTTGCCCACTTCTGTTTGGGGTCACGCCATTTTGCATGCAGCAATGCTAGTTCGTCTCAGACCGACAAATTATCATAAATATTCCCCGTTGCAATTAGTTTTGGGTCATGAACCTAATATATCCCATTTAAGAATTTTTGGATGCGCAGTATATGTGCCTGTAGCACCGCCATATCGCACCAAAATGGGTCCCCAAAGAAGGTTAGGAATATATGTTGGGTTTGAATCGCCCTCCATTATTCGATACCTCGAAACATTAACGGGGAATTTGTTTACTGCACGATTTGCAGACTGTCAATTCGATGAGACACTTTTCCCAAAATTAGGGGGAGAAGTTGGTGAAACCAAACGGGAAATTTTGTGGAAAAATCTATCATTATCTCATCTTGATTCACGTGCCTCTATTTGTGAAAAAAAGGTGCAAAAGATTATCCATTTACAGAGAATAGCAAATCAAATGCCCGACGCATTTACTGATTTGAAAAGGATAACAAAATCACATATCCCTGTAGAGAATGTTCCAATCCGTATTGATGTCCCTATTGGACAATCTTCTAGTGTCATAGCCAATGAGTCAAAAGCACGACTAAAACGTGGCAGACCATTAGGTTCTAAGGATCGAAATCCTAGAAAAAGGAAAACAAATGATCAAAATGACACTACGAAAGAGTCTCATGAAGAAATCCACGATTTAACCAATCCTGAGATTCATGAGAAAATCACTAAGCCTGAGACTCAAGAAAGTAAGGAACTATCAATAAATCCAATCGATATTGAGACAAATTTGAATCGAGTGGATATAGTGGTGGATTATGTCTTTGCATATAATGTTGCATTTAGCATTGTCCAAGAAAGTGAGGATCTTGAACCTCAATCTGTTGGAGAATGTCGACAAAGACTTGATTGGCCAAAATGGCAAGAAGCAATCCAATCAGAGTTGAATTCACTTGCAAAACGTGAAGTTTTTGGGCCTGTAGTCCCAACACCTAATGGTGTTAAGCCTGGTGGCTATAAATGGGTCTTTGTACGCAAGAGGAATGAGAAAAATGAGGTACAAAGATATAAGGCACGCCTTGTTGCACAAGGATTTTCACAAAGGCCTGGTGTCGATTATGAAGAGACATATTCACCCGTTATGGATGCTATAACGTTCTGTTATCTCATTAGTTTTGCTGTCCATGAAAAGCTTGACATGCATTTAATGGATGTGGTTACCGCATACCTTTATGGCTATCTTGATAATGAGATATACATGAAAATTCCCGAGGGATTTAAAATGCCTAAAGCACATAATTCAAAGTCCCGGAAAATATTTTCAATCAAATTGCAAAGATCTTTGTATGGTCTAAAGCAATCAGGACGAATGTGGTATAATCGTCTTAGTGAGTATTTATTAAAGGAAAGGTTATATAAATGATGCCATTTGTCCATGTGTTTTTATAAAGAAAACAACATCGGAATTTGTTGTACTTGCCGTATATGTTGATGACATAAACCTTATTGGAACTCCTATAGAACTCCAAAAGGCAATTGATTAGTTAAAGAAGGAATTCGAGATGAAAGATCTCGGAAAGAAAAAATTATGTCTTGGTTTGCAAATTGAACATTTGGCAAACGGAATTTTTGTTCATCAATCTGCCTATATAGAAAAGGTATTGAAACGGTTTTACATGGATGGAGCACATCCATTAAGTACTCCGATGGTTGTTCGATCACTTGATGTGAATAAGGATCCATTCCGACCTCAAGAAAAAAATGAAGAGCTACTTGGTCCTGAAGTACCATATCTTAATGCAATTGGTGCACTAATGTATCTTGCTAATACTACAAGGCCTAACATAACCTTTTCAGTTAATGTCTTAGCAAGATATAGCTCATTGGAATGGAATCAAACACATATTGCGGTATCTAAAAGGAACTACCGATATGGGCTTATTTTATGGCAATAATTGTAGTCCTGATCTTGTTGGTTATGCCGATGCTGGGTATTTATCTGATCCACACAAGACTCGATCTCAAACAGGCTATGTGTTTACCTGTGAAGGCACTGCCATATATTGGCGATCGACTAAGCAATCAATTGTGGCTACTTCATCTAATCATGCTGAGATAATTGCTATTCATGAAGCAAGTCGAGAATGTGTGTGGTTGAGGTCTATAATACATCTTATTCGAGACAAATGTGGTTTGAAGTGTGACAAACTGCCCACGATTTTGTATGAAGACAATGCAGCATGCATAGCTCAATTGAAGGGAGGATTCATAAAAGGAGATAGGACAAAGCACATTTCACCAAAGTTATTTTTCACACATGATCTTCAAAAGAATGGTGATATCAATGTGCAACAAATTCATTCAAGTGATAATATGGCTGATTTGTTCACCAAGTCTCTACCGACGTCAACCTTCAAGAAGCTAGTGTACAAGATCGGGATGCGAAGGCTCAAGGATGTGAATTGATGCTCTCATCAGGGGGAGTTAATGCGCGTTGCACTCTTTTTCCCTTACAAGATTTTGTCCCACTGGGTTTTCCTTGCAAGGTTTTTAACAAGGCAACCAAACGCATTATTAGATATGTGTACTCTTTTTCTTTTTTCTAGAATTTTTTTCTCATTGGATTTTATTTTAGTTAAGGTTTTAATGAGGCACATTACTTATTGAGTAGACATTCAAGGGGGAGTGTTATGAATAGAATTCTATTTGGAGTGAATGTCTATCTTGTAGAGTGTTTTAATTTGTGACTAAGTCATTTTCCCCCTATAAATAGAGGGGTCTTACCCATTGTAAATCATCCCACTCTCTCTCTTTTTCTGCAATATTGTTCTTCTACTTTTATTGTTTCATAAAAGTATTCAATTTTTGTACTAACGTCTCAAATAATTGATTTTTAAATGATTTAGTTAATATAAAATTGAAGTTGGTTCTAAAATCCTAAATTTTAGGTACATAATTTAAATGAGGGAAGATTTAATAATTAAATTTTAATTAATTTCTAAGTCCTAAATATAAAAAATAATTAAATAATTATTTTATCTAGTATAAAATTTAATTTTAAAGAGTGAAAAATGCAAAGGATATTTAGCTGAGCAGTTTCGTGCTTTTAATATAGCACAGATACTCTTGGTCGTCATATGAAAACCACAAATCTTCAACATTCTCCACTTCACAACAAAACCCTTGGAGACAAAAAAGCGCGCGAAACTCCATTAGTTTCGAGAGAAACTCAGCTAAGCTCGAAAAATGCCGGAGCTTCCGGAGGTAGAGGCAGCTCGAAGAGCCATAGAGGACCACTGCATAGGCAAGAAAATCGTGAAAGCCATCATCGCCGATGATCCCAAGGTCATCGACGGCGTGTCTCCCGATGATTTCAGAGCCTCTCTTGAGGGCAAAACCATCGTAGCTGCTTATCGCAAGGGAAAAAACATGTGGATTGAGCTCGATTCCTCTCCTTTTCCTACTTTTCAGTTCGGTGAGGTTACTACTCTTCTTTTGTTGAAATTGGCGATTTTTGTTTACCATATTGTTACAATAACTCCTTTACTCTAGCTTCTACGGTATAAAAATGTTAAAACGTATACGTATCTGCATGTCTGGAATAGTGACCCACACTGTTAGGGTTTTATGTAAAAGAATGAGATTCATCAGTTCGGCGCTGAATAACCCTAATTCTGCTTAGCTTATACTGCAGTCTGATGGCATTAGTTATCTTCCATATGCATAAAGACAGGTTGGATGAATACTTGAAGACATGGCTCTTCTATTTTTTGTTATCTTCCCCTTTGTGCTAGAGAAGCGGGCGAGGGTGTTGGGAGATCAATTTTCAAATAGAATAGAACTTAATTCTAATTCTTAATGCTGATTCTTCCGTGACAAGTAAGATCTGCAGGACAGAGCTGCAGAGGGGGCAAAACAGAAAAAATAAAAGAGACTAATGTTATGTTTTGTCAAGTAAAGGTGCTTGGAAACGAGAGAACTCTGTTCAAGAAACCAAATCTTAGCTTAGTGTAGATGCCATGCCTATGATTTATTTGCTAGAGTTATTCTGTGGTTGTTACTGCAAGCTTCTAATGATGGCCAGAACTAAGACCGGTATCTTAATGATATCCGGCGAGGCAACTGATAAACCATTGTTGTATGCTACATGCTTTCCTCCGAATCAAGTTGCTCCTGGGCACAAATATCTTTTACCATTAAGCTATTGATGAAGTTCGTGGTCATTTCTCGGATGTTAACTCTGCCTTTCCTAAGCTGTATTCTAGGTTTATCTCTATAACAGAATAGACTGTGAAGATATCAGATTGGAAAGTCATGACATTTCTGTTGCTTGGTTGGTTTGTTTGACCTCTAATTATTTTGTACATCTACTGTCAGGAATGGCGGGTGCTATATACATCAAAGGAGTTGCAGTTACAAAATATAAACGGTGAGCTTTAATGTCATATTGTGCTGGGCAATTATGTAAAGCTATTCATTTTGCAAACTGATGAACATAAATGGGTAAAGGGTCCCAAGTGTCTAACCAGATTATGGAAAGGTTCTCATTTATTTATCCCAAAAAAAAAAAAAAAAATTCTTGAAAGGTTCTATTACTGGACTGCTGTAAGAATTGCCAATATCAAATTAGCTTCTCATTTATTATGTGATATTATGACTTGCTCTTTATGTTGCATTGAGTTTTAGTTATGAAATGTAGATCTTCGAAACAAGTTGTCTATGGGGGTATGAGAGAAAAGAATGAATTCATCTTCAGCATTTATCACAAATGTAATATTTTTCTAGGTCTGCTGTAAAAGACGATGACGAGTGGCCTTCCAAGTATTCAAAGGTTTTCCTTGAGGTAAGTTTACTCTTTATAGCAAGTTAATGTCTCAGCTGTATCTTTTTTTTTTTTTTTAATTGCTAACAAAAATTGTGACATACATTTACAACTATAAAGTTAATAGTAGATTCATAAAAAATAATGGTCCGAGGTGATTTTCTGGCTCAGATGGAATTTGCACAAGCAGATGTGGATGAAGAAACATGTTTGCACCCTTTATAAACAACCGTGTGAATTTTTAACTGGTAAAGGCAACTAGATGGAACATGAAAACTAATTCAGCATTTTTGGGGTCCTATTCCTGTATGTAAAAGAATAAAAAAGAAATTGGATTGATTTGGTTGTGAATGGAAATAACTTGCTACAAGGCCGAGATGGTAATGACATTTCAATGGTCATTATGCCTTAATCTGTTTACTGTAGATTGCATTCATTCTTGCGGTTAGAATATTAGAAACTTGTGATTTCACAACCATCTTCTGCTTCTCCCTTTCTTTTCTTCATCTACTTCTTTTCCGCCTGCTTCTCCTTTGCCATTCTTTTAGAGATCAAACTGGCACATGAATGTAGCTACTGATGAATGTGGACACCTTTCAAACTTGTGTAGTTGGACGATGGTTTGGAGCTCTCATTTACTGATAAGAGGCGGTTTGCCAGGGTGCGCTTGCTGAAGAATGTAAGATGATATTATCGCCCAATCCATGATACTTTCCCTTGAACGAAAAGCTTGAAAATTATCTCCTAACGAATTTATCGTTGCAGCCGGTTTCTGTTCCTCCAATATCTGAACTTGGTCCTGATGCACTGTTGGAGCCAATGACTGTAGATGAGTTCTATAAAGCTTTCAGCAAGAAGAAGATTGGTGTTAAGGCTTTATTACTTGACCAGGTTAGGAACTGTCTTTTACTTTATAAACTTTTGTGAAATGGTCAAAAGATATCCTTTATAGTGCATAATTTAATTAATATAGTTAAACTGTGCAACGTTTTAGGATTAAGGCATATCCATCTGAACAAATGTATCAGAACTGGACTACTAGTTACTACAAATGACCACTTCTCAATCTCTGCTAATTTGAAGAGAAGTTCAAATCAGTACAGAGAATCAAGTTTGATTGTCTTTGTTGTTTCATTCTTGGTGTGAATTGGAGTATGCTAATGAAGTTTCCTCACTTGAGCAACAGCTCATATAGGCGGAGGGGTTATAGTTACTTGGAATGGGAATCTCACAGGAAAGAGGCAATACAAAGTCACTTGGATTTGGAACTGGGGAAGACATGTTGACAGAAAACTTGGGTTTGTTTGTAGAAAAACTACTTCTGAATTTCAGGTGTCAAGCACAGTTCTTATAACTTGATTCATATCAGGACCTACTAGTATAAACTATAAAGTTAATTTTGCGCATCAACTGATTAAAAGATACTGCATGTCTACCAATCAAAAAAGAAAGGGATATTGCATATCTGAGTGGTGACATCTGTCCTTGAATGCTTTTATGCATGAAAAGATATCTATGTTTCTATCGCTATCCTGATCTGAACAACCATTATCCAGCTAAACATTAGGAGCCAGCATGTGGCGAAAAGTTAGATTCAGTAGCTTATAGTTGAAACTCTCTTGCTGTATAAGAAGAGTTTAATAAACAGTATTCGTTTATAAGTAAAGAGAAAAAAAGCTATATCACTCTTAAATTCATTAGGAGTTATAGCCATTTTCTTGTAGGCATTATAAATACTTTTCCTGCTGTTTCTGCAGAGTTTTATTTCAGGAATTGGCAACTGGATTGCAGATGAAGTGCTATATCAGGTGTGTGCGCTCGACTCTTGGCGAGAATAAAAGAACTAGAGTTTCTCAGCTCTATTTTTATTGCAAGTTATAAATTTTGTTTACTTATTTGCTCATTTGAATTCTAGTTACTATTTTGTTTAATATATGGTCAAATCTGTCTCTTCATTTGGTTGTAAGCAATTCAAGGTGTCTGGATGCAGATTGATGTTGCTTGCAGATTTTTGCTTGCTCTTGTAAAGTTTATGACCAAATAAAAGAAAGCTCCAGTCAGAAATTTTTGTGGTTTGTGATTAACGTTGTCAAATTTCTTTCGACAGGCAAGAATCCATCCTATGCAGACTGCTTCTATCATATCCAAAGAGGACTGTGCAACATTGCTGAAGTGCATCAACGAGGTACGTCATCTTTCTTAAACTAGATGTTGTGATCACTTATAAGTTGTATGAGAATGCTTTCCTCATGGCTAGCTATTGGAGATGATACTTCTAGGTTACAGAATTTGCGGTTGAAGTAGATGCCGACTGCAGCCGCTTCCCTTCTGAATGGTTGTTTCATTACCGATGGGGCAAAAAGCCTGGAAAAGTTAATGGTGAGATAATTTTCCATATGCACCCACATTTTGACATACGATTGTATGTACACAGGTCGTCGAAAAAGCTGCTGAAGTTGGCGCAGATAATAGTCAGTATCCTTCTAGTTGGATTTTCCATTCCCGGGAAAAGAAACCTGGCAAGGCCTTTGTTGATGGTTTGGCTCCTCACCTTTAAGCTACTCCTGGTTGGGTTCTGGTTATACTCATCATCCTTGCTCATCATATCCACATTGTAGTGAACTAGATATTTTTTACTTTGTTTAATCGCCTGATGATAAATTAAATAGCTTTGCATACTTTATGAAAGAAAAAAGACCGATCTCCTTTCTTGTACTGACTGTTCTGCCCTGATTTTAGATAAAAACTCTGCAGCTTTTTATATCCTTACCACTTTAGTTTTTCTACTTGAAAAAATTGAGAGAAATTTGGGTGTTTTGCAGGGAAGAAAATCGAGTTTATCACGGCTGGTGGCAGGGTATGGCTCTCTAACACTGTTCTCTGGTTTATCTCAAGTATGATCTAGATAAAAACATTTTTTTTCTTTTTTAAACGCTAGACTTCAGCCTTTGTGCCGGACCTACAAAAGATAGTGGGAGCTGAATCTGCAAAAGCAGCAGGTAAACGGCAGCAGGGCAAAGTTAAGAGAGTCAAGCATAATGATAGTGATGGTGAAGATGAGGAGCCAGAAATTGAAGAGGCAGAAGCTGGGAAATCAAAAGGGAAGCAGCGTGGGACAGATAATAAGAGAGCTTCTACTAACAAGAAGTTGAAGGGAAGCAATGGTGACAATGATGAAAATGATAATGATAATGATGAAGGTCTAAAGAATCCTTCTGAAAAAGCAAAACACAGTGGGAGCTCCAAGGGAAAAGGTGGCAATCAAGAGAAGAAAGCCAGAGCAAATATGGCTGCAAAAAGAAAACTAGAGGAAAGTGGTGATGATGAAGATGATGACGGTAGTGAGGGTGATGATGATAATGAAGGGGGCAAGGATCGCAAGCTTTCTAGTAAAACAAAATCAAAGGGGAAGAAGACGACCAAGCGAACGGCTGAACCAAGGCAGACTAGGAATAAGCTGTCCAATAAGCAGAAGTAACTGAGCATAAAAGTATCAAGTGTAGGTGAAAAAGAAAGTCTGAAGTATCAAATGTGCAATTTTGTCAACATTAAGGAAGTGGAAACAGTTAGTGCTTTTCGTTATCACAAGGTGGTAATTGCCCGTAAATAGCTACTAAAGCTGTATGATGACATGATTTGTAATATTTCACCAGCGGTTTAGACCTAGGCTAGGTTTGCTTTGGATGTCTGTTGCAACTTGTGCCATGGATAAAAATTGGTAGTACTACTATGTTTTAGGAGGAAAGAAGAATCAACCCAAATAGCAGTCCACTCAACGTTTAAACTAAAAATAGCCCGTGGAGGTATAATGTATGCATAATTTATATTATATGTGTATAATTATATATAAATAATGATTATGGCTAGAAAAAGTAAATAATGAATATCACCGACTATTTATGTAAAGATCCCTTTAGGAAATTGTTGTAAAGCTTCTGAAGGTTTAATAGGGCTTGGGTTGAACCTAACGTCTCACAGTGGCCATTTTATTACTATTACTTAAACCTTAGACCATTTATTTATGTCATTACACTACCAGCTCATTGGCAGTCAATATCTGTTTAGACGAAAGTATGTTGCTACTATAATTTACTTATATATTCGTGCATAGTTTCATTGATGTGCTTGAAATCTACTAGTACCTAGAAGAAACAAATTGAAAATTAAAGTATAAGGATATATATTCAGTAATTTCCTTTTGTTTTTAAAGTTCTTATTGTAAATTGTTTTTGTGGCATCATTAAAAAATTAAAGCAGCAACAACAACAACAACAACGACCCAGTAAAGGGAAACTTACACAAATGCCCCAAATAAATCTCAACTTACCAACCTCTAGCCATTAGTAATAGACTTACAAAAACTAGCTAACAAAAATTGAAAAACCAAATAATAGGGTTCTTTCTCTCAAAGAATCACATGCAAAAATCACCTTCCATATTTTTAAGCGTGATTAGCAACATTAGATACAAGACGTAAAGGAAATTTCATGGACGGGGTAGCAAATAAGGTGATGAAATACAAAAATCTATACAATATTCCAAAAATCTAAATAAAAAAGGAACTTTTTCAATGGGTATAGTTGGAATTCATTGAAAATATATAGATAAGTCAATATACAAAATTTGAGGAAGATTGGAGGTGATTTGGACTGGTTTTATATCAAAACTCGTAATTAAATCGAGTTCAAAAAAGTCTTCTACGACACATGTATCAAACATGTATCACGCATGTATCACACACACAGGTATACATGGATATACATGTGATACACAATTGATACAAATATGATACATATGTGATACACAAATGATACACATATCATTTTTTTTCATGTTCAGCTTTTACTTCGAATTTTCAATTCAAACCACCTCAAAACTTCATCAAATCATCCCAAAACTGAGATTCAAGCTCCTTAAGTTGTGCCCAATCTATTCTAATAACACCCACTCAAAACAAAGCAAAAATTTGATATTTTTTTCTACAAATAGCTAATTGGCTAATTTGGCTAATATTAGTAATATTTTATCAATTGGCCAATTTTTGTAATGAGCTACTTATAAATGGACATAGCTGGTAATTTCCCCCCAGTAAAGTCCCACTAAGTGGGGTCTGGGGAGGGTAGTGTGTACGCAGATCTTACCCCTACCCCGATATGGCAGAGAGACTGTTTTCGATAGACCCTCGGCTCAGGAAGATGGAAATAAAACAATAAAAGAAAAGACAATTCATCAGTATTGCCAACATAACCATAGAAATAATGACAGCATCCTAAAAACCATAAAATAGATGACATGCAATAACAATAACCCGCAACTAAGATCCAGAGCTATGGAAAACAGTAAGGTTAGTGTGAACTCTACATCAACCACAAGCCGTCTAGGAACAACCTACTCAAACTCGCTTCACCCCCGAAATGGAGAAGGAGAAGCTCGACTACCACTCTATCCTACAACCCTAATGCTCGACCTCCAGACCTTCCTATCAAGGGCCATGTCCTCGGAAATCTGCAATCGTGCCATGTCCTGCCTGATCACCTCTCCCCAATACTTCTTAGGCCGACCTCTAACTCTTCTCGTACCCACTAAAGCCAACAGCTCACACCTCCTCACCAGAGCATCCAGGCTTCTCCTCTGCACGCGCCCGAACCATCTGAGCTTCGCTTCCCGCATCTTGTCATCCACAGAGGCCACACCCACCTTCTCCCGAATATCTTCATTTCTAATCTTATCTATCCTAGTGTGCCCGTACATCCACCTCAGCATCCTCATCTCAGCTACCTTCATCTTCTGGATATAAGAGTTCTTAACTGGCCAACACTCTACCCCATATAACATGGCCGCTTTAACCACCGCCCTATAAAACTTACCTTTGAGTATCGGTGGCACTTTCTTGTCACATAAGACTCAAGATGCTAGCCTCCATTTCGTCCACCCCACTCCTATGCGGTGAGTGACGTCCTCGTCGATCTCTCAATCCCCTTGAATAACCGACCCAAGGTACTTGAAACTACCTCTCTTGGGGATGACCTGTGATCCAAGCCTCACATCCATGCCTACTTCACTCGACTCGACGCTGAACTTGCACTCCAGGTACTCTGTCTTAGTCCTGCTCAATCTGAAACCCTTAGACTCGAGATCCTGTCTCCAAGCCTCCAACCTCTCGTTAACACCGTCCCGCGTCTCATCAATCAGGACTATGTCATCAGCGAATAACATACACCATGGCACTCCCCCTTGAATATGGTGTGTTAGTGCATCCTAGACTAAGGCAAATAAGAACGGGCTAAGGGCAGATCCTTGGTGTAACCCCATAACAATCGGGAAATGCTCCGAGAACAACAATAACAACAATCCAGTAAAATCCCACTAATGGGTCTGGGGAGGGTAGTGTGTACGCAGACCTTATCCCTACCCCGAAGAAGTAGAGAGGTTGTTTCCGAAAGACCCTCGACTCAAGAAAATAAAAAGACATAAGTAGATAATATTAGTATCACCATAGAAATCATAGGTAAAATAGGAACAATATGAAGTACAGAAAAAAGATGCAAAGCAAAGCAAAGCAAAAACGATAGCTATTAAATAGGTCATGCACTGAAAGGCGAAATAGTAAGACACAACATTCCCACCAGCTATCTTAGACAAAAACTCTACTAGACTAGTCTCATAATGGCACGAAGTAAGGCAAGACTCAACTACCTCCTAACCTACAACCCTAATACTCGACCTCCACATCTTTCTATCAAGTGTCATGTCCTCGGAAATGTGAAGCTTTGCCATATCCTGCCTGATCACCTCTCCCCAGTACTTCTTAGGCCGCCCTCTACCTCTTCTCGTTCCCTCCACAGCCAAGCGCTCACACCTCCTTACCGGAGCATCTGGGCTTCTCCTCTGAACATGTCCAAACCATCTTAGCCTCGCTTCCCGCACCATGTCCTCAATGGGAGCCACGTGCACCTTCTCCCGAATAACATCATTCCTAATCTTATCCGTCCTAGTGTGCCAACACATCCACCTCAACATCCTCATTTCTGCTACTTTCATCTTCTGAATATGTGTGTTCTTAACAGGCCAACACTCAGCCCCATACATCATACCCGGTCTAACCACCGCTTTATAGAACTTACATTTGAGTATCGGTGGCACTCTCTTGTCGCACAGGACTCCAGATGCTAACCTCCACTTCATCCATCATACCCCAATACGGTGTGTGACATCCTCGTCGATCTCCCCTCCCCACTAGATAACCGATCCAAGGTACTTGAAGCTGCCTCTACTTGGGATGACCTGTGATTCAAGCCTCACTTCCGCGCCCACTTCTCTCGGCTCAGCGCTGAACTTAAACTCCAGGTATTCCGTCTTCGTCCTACTCATCTTGAAACCCTTAGACTCAAGAGCATGTCTCAAAACCTCCAGCCTATTGTTAACACCGGCTCGCGACTCATCGAACTATGTCACGGCGAATAGCATGCACCATGGCACCTCCCCTTGAATATGGTGTGTTAGCGCATCCATCACCAAGGCGAATAAGAACGGACTGAGTGCAGAACCTTGGTGTAACCCCATCACAATCGGAAAATGCTCAGAGTCGCCTCTTACTGTCCTAACCCGAGTCTTAGCCCCATCATACATGTCCTTAATCGCCATAATGTAGGGAACCGACACACTTTTTGCCTCCAAGCATCTCCAGAGAACTTCTCTAGGAACCTTATCATATGCTTTCTCTAGGTCAATGAACACCATGTGCAGATCCTTCTTCCTCTCTCTGTACAGTTCCACCAACCTCCTAACAAGATGTATAGCTTCTGTAGTAGAACGACCCGACATGAACCCGGACTGGTTGTCGAATACAAACACTATCATCCTCACCCTCGCTTCAACCACCCTTTCCCATGCTTTCATGGTATGACTCAGTAATTTGATACCCCTATAATTGTTACAACCCTGGATATCACCTTTGTTCTTATACAATGGAACCACCGTACTCCACCTCCACTGATCCGTCATCCCCTTCGCCTTAAAAATAACATTGAACAACCCATTCAACCACTCCAAACCTGCTCTCCCCACACACTTCTAAAATTCCACCAGAATCTCGTCTGGCCCGGTTGCTCTGCCCCTACTCATCTTATGCATAGCTCTTACGAGCTCCTCAACCTTGATACGTATGCAGTTCCCAAAGTCACGGTGACTCTCGAAATGCTCCAATTTGCCTAGCACAATATCCCGATCCCCTTCTTCATTCAGAAGTTTATGAAAGTAAGCCTGCCATCTCCTCTTAATCTGAGAATCTTCCATCAATACTCTACCATCTTCGTCCTTGATGCATCTCACTAGGTCCAAATCCCGAGCCTTCCTCTCTCTCAACTTGGCCAGCCGGGATAACTTCTTCTTCCCGCCTCTTTCCCTCAGTTCCTCGTACATACGACCAAAAGCCACTGTCTTAGCCTCCGTGACCGCCAGCTTAGCTTCCTTCCTAGGTACATTATACCTCTCTATGCACGCTCGCCTCTCCTCTTCACCTCTGCTCCCCACTAACTTCAGGTACGCCGCCTTCTTCGTTTCTACTTTACCTTGGACCACTTCATTCTACCACCAGTCTCCTTTGTGCCCACCAGAGACGCCCGTCGAGACCCCTAACACCTCTTTCGCAGCCTCCCTTATACAGTCTACTATCGCTGACAATATAGTGCTCGCATCACCACTGCTCCTACAAGCTCCCATAGCCGACAACCGCCCCTCTAACTCTTG